ATATACTGCAGTCTCCTACTATTCTACTGAGCCACGTTTAACATCACAAATTATTAAGGGAATTTACTACAACTCTGCTATCCTTACTGCAACTCAAGACAGCTTATCTGGAAACACTGTGTCAAGATACATCCACATGCAATTCAAGACTTCCACAAGAAAGAGATTACCTGGCATAACCAATGATTAGACTACCGAAGACTGTTCCAATACCAGCACCAGAACCAGCCACACCTACTGTGGCAGCTCCAGCACCAATGAATTTGGCAGCAGTGTCAATGTCTCTGCTGATAGCACTAGTCTGGAATCCTCTAAGTGCTAGTTGGGAGACAGTGTTTTGGGCCCCATTAAGTGTTGAGTTGCCCTAAGAAAACAAAACATGGAAAAAGCATTATATTCAGACACAGACTATTTTCTATGACCACTTTGATACAGTGTTATTCTTCAGTTTTAAAATTGTATTAGCTCCAACATCTGGTTACTCTTACAAGTGTTGAGTCTGTAATTAAGCGTTAAACCTTCAGAATGTTATATTTCCACCTGAAAGCACTCAACACTAACTGTTAGAAGATTCTTCTCAGGGAAGCAGCAAAATAGCAACAAGTATTTAATTAGAGATTCCATTTAAAGCAAGTGTCATAGCACAGATACTTGAGTTAGTATGTGTGAAGTCTAGATTGAGGACATTTAGGCTCACCAGGTAATTTAGGAAGATACAGAATTTTGTTTATAAGGTACCTCTCCAGTCCTGACCTCTGGCCTAGAAAACACAGATGCTGAAATTGGTCTGTACAACACTCTTGATCCAGCACGGATCTGCAAGAAGAGGAAAAGAAAAAAATATATATATATTTGATTACAGCAGTTCCTACACAGTGTCTTTTTGTAAGATTAAGAGCCTATTATCTACTATTTTCCTACCAAGACAGCAAATCACTGCATATCTGGATATAAAATACAAGATACAGAAGCAGGCACTTCCATGCATGCAGTTTGATGACTCCACCATAGCAGCTTTCAGAAGACATTATTGTGACTAGCTGGATCACTCAGTGAAACTGTACAAGTGTTACACTGACAGAAAAAAAAAATCTAACAAAACAGCAACACAAAAGCCTACATAGACCAGCAGGCATCAATATGCCTTCTGCAACAAAAAAATGAAAGGAATCACAATGCATTTTAAAGCTATTAAATGCAGAGACATAACCTAGACTTTTAAATCTAGCAAAGCATGAATGAATGAATCCTCTTTCACAAGCGGCCTGCATGTGTCCTTGGGCATCCAGCCCTCTAAGGTCATACCAGCTCTGGCACAAAGCTCTTCCTCCAGGGGAAAACTGTGCCTGCACCATGCACAGGGCATGTTCTGCAGGCTAGAAAGGACATTTTGGAGCAGGAGAATCTCTGAAAGGGCAGAAAATCCCGGCCTCGCCGGGACAGGACAAGCGACAAGCTAGAGTTTGACCTACAGCGAGGTGCAGCACGCACCAGGCCCCAGGGCGGCTCGCTGCGCTGCCCTCGCCCTTCACTGCCCGCGCGGGAAGGCCCCTTACCTTGGCGAGGGGTCCAGGCCGACACCAA